CCCCCCCCCACACACACACACACATACACTTTGTCTTTGGAATGCGCTGAGGAATAAACATCATTAAAGTTATGAGGCGTCTTCTGAAAGAGCCTAGAATGTTTACTGTATGTCCCAGTTTACATAGCTGCTTTATGGAAATTTGGCACTGAACCTCGCGTGACTGATACTGTACTGTCATAATTTTTATATACTGTTGCAATATTTTGATAATGTGGTATACCAAAACACCGTCATACCACCCAAGCCTATATCGCATGCCAGAATAACAGAACTGAAGCTCTAAAATAGACTACAATGTAGAAACCCAATAAAAACTAAATTTGAATCCTTTAACTTACCAACTATCTTACTGTTTTCTCTCTCCAGATATTTAGTCCACATCTTCTTCCCTTTTTCGTCATCTCTAAAAGTAGAACACAGAACACAATGTAAAGCTATTCATTAATAAAATGACATTTAAATGTCTTTTTTATAATGGTAAATAGACTGTCCTCCTGAAACATCTCGGTAATCCAGGTAGAAAAATCAAATTGAAAAAAAAAAACTAAATGGGTCCACTGGGCGGGTTCTTCTTTAATGAAATGTTTCGTCTCTCCTCCAAGAGACTTCTTCAGTCTGAGGAGTTTCAGGTGAACTCCACATGGTGGACAAACAGGTTGGTCACATGCAAAAGAAGACCATCAGCCAGGTTGTTAGTGCTTTGATTGGCTCTATTGCAGAGCTATTCAACAAAATTGCTCCGGGGGCCACAGTTACTGCAGGCCAACAGCTGAGGGGCTGAACATCCAGCAATTAAAGTCATTATTATTTATCATTATAAAACAGATAAACAAAAGACCATTCAAAATACATCACTAGTATTTAGTTGCACCACCTTTGGCTTTTATAACGGCTTGCAGTCTCTGAGGCATGGACTTGATGAGTGACAAACAGTATTCTTCATCAATTTGGTGCCAACTCTCTTTGATAGCAGGTACCAGATCAGCTTTGCAGGTCGGAGCCTTCTTGTGGACCATTTTCTTCAATTTCCACCACAGGTTTTCAATTGGGTTGAGATCTGGACTATTTGCAGGCAATGACATCAACTGAATGCGTCTTTCTCCAAGGAATGCCTTCACTGTTTTTGCCCYAWRRHACGATGCATTGTCATCTTGGAAAATGATTTCATCACCTCCAAACATCTGTTCAATTGAAGGGATGAGAAAACTGTCCAAAATGTCAATGCAAACTTGTGCATTGATAGAAGAATGAACCACAGTCATCTCCTCAGTGCCTTTGCCTGACATGCAGCCCCATATCATCAAGGACTGTGGACATTTGGTTGTTTTCTTCAGACAGTCCTCTTCATAAATCTCACTGGAACAGTACCAAACAAAAGTTCCAGCATCATCACCGTGTTCAATGTAGATTCTTTACTCATCACTGAAGATAACTTTCATTCAGTCATCCACAGTCCATGATTGCCTCTCCTTAGTCCATTGCAGTCTTGTTATTTTTTGTTTAGGTGTCAATGATGGGTTTTTTTAGCTTTCCTGCATTGAAATCCCATTTCCTTTAAGCAATTTCTTATGGTTCAGTCACATACTTTGGCTCCAGCTCCCTCCCATTTATGCTTCACTGTTTAGTTGTACTTTTTCGGTTTTCAAGACAAATGGCTTTAAGTTGTTTGTCTTGACTCTTTGATGTCTTTCTTGGTCTACCAGTATGCTTGGCTTTAACAACCATTCCATGCTGTTTGTATTTGGTCCATATCTTGGATACAGCTGACTGTGAACAGCCCACATCTTTAACAACCATTCCATGCTGTTTGTATTTGGTCCATATCTTGGATACAGCTGACTGTGAACAGCCCACATCTTTAGCAACTATGCATGAAGAGTTACCTTCTACACAAAGTTTCACGATCCTCTTTTGTTTCAAGAGACATTTCTCTCGTTGGAGCCATCGTCAGGTTGTGTTCCAGCAGCATTTAAACATGCTGTGGTCCAACCACTTCTTAAGAAGAGCAGCTTGGATCCTACAGTTCTGTCAAACTTTAGGCCAATTTCTAAATTGCCCTTTCTTTCAAAACTTTTAGAGAAGGTTGTTTTTATTCAGTTACATGAGCACCTATGTCTTAATGATATTTATGAGAAGTTTCAGTCTGGTTT